ATTTAAAATAGAGGGGTGGGGGGGGAGCCAGAAGGCTGCCTCTTCCGAGCCCCAAGTTGTTTCCAAGCATTCATATGAAGAGCCGAGGTGGTGTAGTGGTTAGAGTGCAGTACTGCAGGCTACTTCAGCTGACTGCTAACTGCAGTTCGGCAGTTCAAATCTCACCAGGCTAAAGGTTGACTCAGCCTTCCATCCTTCCGAGATGGATAAAATGAGGACCCAGATTGTTGGGGGCGATAGGCTGACTCTGTAAACCGCTTAGAGAGGGCTGTAAAGCACTATATAAGTCTAAGTGCTATTGTTATTGATATGCTTCAGGTAACTTAGGCCAGAGCTAGAAGTCCCATCCTCAGCACTAAGCTTTATGGTCTCCTAGCTAAGTGCTAGGTATCAGGTTAAGGTAGTGGGGACTGAGAAGGCAGCGGTTCGTCAGCCCGGGATTTCACCAAGCTCATCAGAGCCCGCTAATCCCCGACTGTCTCTCCGCAACGCTTCTGGTCGAACAGAAGGCTGCTGGGTTTCTATTTGTCTTGAAATGGTATAGGGTTTCTTGGCTGAGCAGGAGATTGGACTAGAAGAATAGAATAAAATAACAGAGTTGGAAGGGACCTTGGTGGTCTTCTAGTCCAACCCCCTGCTTAGGCAGGGAAGACCTCCAATGTCCCTCCCAATTCTTGTTATTTTGTTCTGTTATTCTGTTATCTTCTCTCTGCTAGGATTCAGTGAAGCTAGTGAGAAGCAAGTGGGTGAAGTTTATTCCAAGCTTCATACAGAACTGGACATAACAGAATAACAGAGTTGGAAGGGATCTTGTAGGTCATTTAATCCAACCCCCTGCCCAAGGAGATCCTACGCCATTTCTGACAGATGGCAGTCCAGTCTCTTCTTGAAAGCCTCCATTGATGAAGCTCCCACAACTTCTGAAGGCAACTTCTGTTCCATGGGTGGATTGTTCTCCCTGTCAGAAAATTTCTCCTTATTTCTAGGTTGAATCTCCCTTTGATTAGTTTCCATCCATTATTCCTTGTCTGGCCTTCAGGTGCTTTGGAAAATAGGTTGACCCACCCACCCCCTCTTCTTTGGGGCAGCCCCTCAAATATTGGAAGACTGCTAACATGTCTCCCCTGGTCCTTCTTTTCATCAAACTAGAAACACCCAGTTCCTGCAACCGTTCTTCATATGTTTTAGCCTCCAGTCCCCTAATCATCTTTGTTGCTCTTCTCTGCACTCTTTCTTTTTCTGCACTCTATTCTATGGGATAGAGTGCTCCCATTGATAGTATCAATGATCTCTATGTAGGGATGTCTTCTATAATATGACTCACTTAAGACAGTGTTGTGGGAATTAGATGGTCAGCAGAGTGATTGCATGGAGGAAAACTTTGTGCCTAGTTATTTTGGCATGCAGTGCCCTATTAGTGGCGTCCTGAGAGGAGAAGTTGAAACAATTTATGTCCAGCATGTGAGATAGATATTTTAATCATCGGCTAGCTCTAGAATGTAGGGAGGCTGGTTTGAAGCAAGTGGGCTTATTCCATGCTTCATGCTGGGAGGATGTTCACAGCCTAGCTGAGCGCATAGGGTTCTACCAAGCTAATCAAGGAAGAAAGGAGATAGCTAATAGGGTGTCTGCTCCATCCCTTACACCTAGGGATCTCTTTGATCATTGTCCAAGAGATGAGATGAGTTCCTGAAAGAGTGAGGAGCAAGGGAACCAGGATTCCTTCTTCAAATCTGACATTTCAATAGAAGGTTGAGGTCCTTCTTATAGAGAGCGCAAAGGTTCCAGTAAGCTAGCAGAGAAGGAAAAAGTAATGGAGGAATAGTTCCAAGCCTGATTCTTAGCTAGGATAGGGGTCAGCAACCCGTAGATATTTTCTCAGCCCTCTTTCTGGTCATGCAGTCCACAGGTCTTCAACGGAAGGCAGACTGGTTGCACTTGGTCTGCTGTGTGGATGCTTGGGTGGTTTCGGGGTGGGGGATTTTTGGTGGGTGTATCTGGGGATTGTCATGTGTGTTGGGCTTGGTCTCTGGGTGTTATGTGAATTTCGTTGTATGGGTATACTGTGTATATATGTACAAAGACAATAAACTTTATATATATAATTGTTTTTTCTAACTATCAGTTGAAGTCTCTACCTGTCCTGTTTGGCTGCTGTGCCGAAATGGACTAATTATTGACGTACAAATGACCAACTTGATAATTCCTCTGTAGAATTGTATCAGCAGATCCTTGGGCAATTTGAGTTTTCGGAGTCGATGCTGAAAGAACATTCTTTGTTGTGCCTTTTTAATGAAGGTTCTAATGTTAGGCGTCCATTTCAAGTCCTGGCAGACAATAGAACCCAGAAATGTGAAGGTCTCTCTACTCTTCATACTCTGTTATCTAATATTGTAAGAGGTGGTAGAACAGGAGAACCTCTCCTAAAATCTACTAGCATCTTTATAGTTTAAGAGGGTTCAGCTGCAGATTGTTCTGGCTGCACCCCAGGGCCAGTTGTTCTACCTCTCGTCTATGTGCAGACTCATCATTGTCTCCAGTGAGATCAATGATTTTTGTATCATCTGGAAACCTCAGTGCTTTAACAGAGGGATCCTCCAAGATGCAGTCATGGTTATAGAAAGAGAAGAATAATGGAGAGAGCACACAGCTCAGGGGTGGGGGTGGGGGAGGGCTCCTGTGCTAATTGAATGACTATTTGATGTGATTTTTCCATAGTTTCACCTTCTGCTTCCTATTTGTTAGAAAACGTATAATCCATCTACAGGTGTGGTCAGACGCAGCTAGCTGAGTCCGTTTAGAGAGGGGCATTTCTGGAAGGATGGCATTGAGTTCCGAGCTGAAGTGTACAGAAAGGACCTTTACATAGGTCTTTGGGGGATTCAAGATGTTGTAGCTCAGTGCCATATGGACTGCATCCTTTGTCCATCTATTTGCATGGTAGGCAAGTCTCAAGGGCTCTAGCAGTAGATCCGTCATGACTTTCAGGTGGGCCAGCACTAACCTTTCGAAGGTTTTCACAACTACAGATGTCAGAGCAACCTTTCTGTAGTTGTTCAACTCCTTGATGGAGGGTTTCTTGGGCACTGGGATGATAGTAGAGAGGTTTGAAGTGAGATATAACCAGGAGTGGGATTCAGCCAGTTCAGATCAGTTCGGGCAAACCGGATGCTAATTTTACATCTGCTTTGCCGAACCTGTAGTTGTAAGGACTGGCTGGCCCCTCCCACCCTGCCCCACCCCTCCCAGGAGTCTCCACGCAGCCTGTTTTGGATGCCAGATAAGCGCAGTGGCTGCGCAGAGTCTGGGTAGGGCAAAAAACAGGCTTCCCAGTAGTTCCGGAAGTCTGGAAACAGGCCCATTCTGGCCTCCTGGGGGAGGCCATTTTCACCCTCCCGGAGGCTCGAAAAAACCCTCCAGAGCTTGGTGAGGGTGAAAATGCCCCCCCCCCACCATGGTGTAGTAGGCCGTGTAGGCCACGCCCACCATGGCCACGCTCACCCAGCAACTGAGCAGAGAACTGGTTGCTAAAATTTTTGAATTCCACCCCTAGACATAAGACATCTTCATTAATTTATTAAAGATGAAGATGAGGGCCAGTTGGTCAGCACAGACACCAAGAGGGGGTTACGTTGTTTGGGCCTGGTGTTTTCCCAGCCTTTTGTCTGTGAAACAGATCTCACACATCTTTTTTGGGGACCACTAGAGGTGGGAGGAGCAGAGGGATAGACTCAGGTGTAGAAGACTTGGCTGTTGGTGTATCTGAGATGGAGAGGGTAGTGATAGTTGACAGTGGTCTCCTCTCAGACCTTCAGTAGAACACACATTCAAGTCATCTGCCAGTTGTCAATTCTCTTTAGCAAGGGAGTAGGCCTTCAAACCTGCCACATTTACTACTGTGGGAAACAGGGAGCAGGGATTGTATGGAGCCAGGGTGATATATAGTCATAATAACATTCCTTTCTCAGAGAGTCAAGGTCATCTTGCCCTGCACCTGGAGGCTGGAACTGGGAGGCATCTCCAGTTGGAACAGTGCTTTGATTGGACCATGTGATGGACTTGTAGGTGCTGGGCAGGGACTTGGATTTTTCCTTGGGTGGGAAAAACCTTGAAACTTTCAGATTCGGGTTTTCCCAGATGTGCCAATATGAAATGTAATAAAATGTAACTTTGAGGAAACTCAAGCCTCAGAGGTTTTTTTTGTTGGGGGTGTTACTTGGTACCCTGACATTCATGGGATTTGGTCATCTAAGGTTTGCAATGACTTGTTTAAGCAAACTTGGAGTGCTATGCAGACTCCAACTATGATAAATGAAGAAAACTCTTGAGGGGCATAATAGGGTATGCAAATAATGAATGGTGTCTCAAAGTTTATTTCATTTATTCAGTGTAGAGTACTAGTATAGTGACATGTTTACATCATCATTGTTAATATAAAAACATATACCTCCTCCATTTTTTTAACCTGATGTTTTTACAATTCTTTCTGCCCTTTGAATCTGAAATCCTGAGATTGGCAGGCAGCTGTCATTAATCGAATCATTCAGCCATGTTTCAATGAAGCAGAGGGTTGCTGAGTTGGAAAAACCTGATTTGTTCCTATTTGAAAGGAGCCATTCATCTATTTTATTTATGAGTGAGAGAAGGTTGGTTAAATACAGTGAGGGGAGGGGAGATATTCTTACCTGTTTCTCCTCCTTCTCTTGTTTCTCTTTTGCTTCTCTTTAAAGTACCATGCTGAAAGAGATAACCGCTGTTCCCTCAGTCAGAATTTCCTCCTCCTTTGAAAAGAAGGGATAAATAGTTCCAGACATCTGCTTGTAATTTAAAGTCCACTGTCTTAGTATTTAAATTCTCACCTCCTGAGTGTGAAATTCAGAGAGAGTCAACGAAAAATAATAGAAAACATAATTACTTAGAAAGCATTTCACCAAGGTTGCCATCTTTAATGGGATATAAACTCACTATCTTTGCTGTGTTATCTTTATCTTCCCCTACAGCTTCCCCTACAGCCCCAACAGTGTTTCCACTATCTCCTTGTAACCAAGACATTGCCACCGTTTCCCAAGTTTCCATCGGTTGTCTCGTCAAAGGCTACTTCCCTCAACCAGCCACAGTGCAATGGAATTCAGGCGCTATCACCAGTGGAATCCACAACTTCCCTCCAGTTATGCTCGGATCCAACTACTATACTCACAGCAGCCAGCTCACCATCCCCGTCAGCAAGTGGCAATCCGAGACATTTGAGTGCAACGTCAACCATGCAGCAACCAGCACCAGAATTAACAAAAGAATTGACCGTGAGTCCAGTAAAGCTATTATCTTTTTCTCTACTCAAGGGCAGTTGATTCGTCAAAGATGAGAAAATCCAAATGTGATTTGGATGATTTGGGTGGAAACAATGACAATTGTGAAGGTACAAGTAATCCTCGGCTTACAGCCATTTAGCAACCATTCAAAGTTATAACAGCAGTGAAAAAAAAGTGATTTATGAATGACCCGTTTTTCATCACTTATGGTTGTTGCCACGTCCTCGTGGTCACGTGATCAAAATTCATATTTGAGGCTCATATTTGTGACGGTTGCAGTGTCCCAGGGTCATGTCACATATTTTGTGACCTTCCGACAGGCAGAGTCAATGGGGGAGCCAGATTTACTTAACAACCATGTTACTAATTTAATAACTGTAGTAATTCACTTAACAACTGTGGAAAGAAAGGTTGTAAAATGGGGCAAAACTTACCTAACAAATGCCTTTCTTAGCAGTATAATGTCAGGGTTCCGACGGATGCCCTAATTAAATCATGTGCCTCGAGCCAAGCTTCAAAAGAAATCCAGTCATTTATTAGGAGCTTCATGTCGGCATGTTCCAAGTGAAGCCAACTCTGATCCCACGTAATTTGCGGCCCAAATTTGACCCCGTTTCCCCCCTCCCCCCAGGGTGTGTTATCAGTCACATTTGCCAATGGAGCAATTTTGTGGGTTGTAGAGATCACTCCCTTCCAGCTGCTGTGGGTAACTCTGGGAGACAGCCTTGTTTTTTGGCAGCCATGCTGCTTCCCTGTTTTCCTATCCCCCTTGCCTATGGCAACTCGGAAGCAAGCCAGGGATACTTTGCAAGTTTACATATAAATTGTGGGCTCAATTGTTGCTACAAGTTGAGGACTACCTGTAGTCTCCTCAAAAGGTACTTATGAACCAAAGTCAGGAGGAAAGGCAGGAGTGGCCATCACCTGTTGGAAGGAATTAAGGCAAAAGTTGATATAGACCAGGAAAACAAGTTTTGAAGGGGGATTTAGAAGTCAAAGTAATGTTTGGGTAAGAGGTCAAGGATTTTCCAAGCCATGCAATCTTTCAATCAGAAGTCCCTCAAGAAAATTCATGGGGTGGGGGGGGGAGCTGAGAAGACCTATTGATGAAGGATAGGGGTTGTATTAGGCTACTACCCAAGGTGGATTAGAATAGAATAGAATAGAATAGAATAGAATAGAATAGAATAGAATAGAATAGAATAGAATAGAATAGAATAGAATAACAGAGTTGGAAGGGACCTTGGAGGTCTTCTAGTCCAACCCCCTGCCCAGGCAGGAAACCCTACACTATTTCAGACAAATGGTTATCTAATCTCTTCTTAAAAATTTCCAGTGTTGGAGCATTCACAACTTCTTCAGGCAAGTTGTTCCACTGATTAATTGTTCTAACTGTCAGGAAATTTCTCCTTAGTTCTAAGCTGCTTCTCTCCTTGATTAGTTTCCAACCATTGCTTCTTGTCCTGCCCTCAGGTGCTTTGGAGAATAATTTGACTCCCTCTTCTTTGTGGCAACCCCTCAGATATTGGAAGACTGCTATCATGTCTCCCCTAACATGTCCCCTGTAGTTGACCCTCCTTTCTGTTTCTCCCCCCTGTTGTACTAAATCATAGTGAAGTGTGTCATCTAATTCCTCCTGTTTAGGCTCTGAAGCCCGTAGTCCTGCGGGCCCCGAGGTCCACGTATTCCATTCTTCATGCGGTTCCAAAGATGGGTCCATACAGCTGTGGTGCCAGATTTCAGGCTTCTACCCCAAACCATTGGAAATTCAATGGAAGGTGGGCAGCCGCTCTGGATTGCTGCGTCCATACAATTATCCTCCTTGGCAGAATCCTGGCACATATACTTTCAGTACCGCCAGCGTAGTCAACATCACCCAACAAGACTGGCTGGAAGGAAATGTTTATTACTGCGAAGTCACCCACGCCGCATCGCAAACCAAGACAAAAAGCAAAGCCAAGAAATGTGAAGGTAACCATGACATGATGCAAATTCTGGGTTGTATAAGTGAGCGTGGAATGACAAAAGAAAATCAAGGAGGAGGCGAACTCACCTTTTCATAAGATCTCTGTAGAAATCCAGAATATTTTCAATAAATCTTCATTAATTTAGGGCTTCTTCACATAGTTAGGGGAGAGGAAACCCAAAGGTGCTTTTTTTTTTTCAAGAGGCAACTGGACTTTCTGAGATTTTTTTTTTTGAAGGGGTTTTGCTTCTCATCCAAGAAGCTTCTTCTGTTCTGACCTAGGCTTCCCTAGCAGCACAAAGCTGAGTCCTCGTCCCGATAAACCCCACATATTTCATTTACAGTGAATGCCGCTCCAGTAAAGTCTTTCCTCTCCCACAGTCTTTCAAGATGGTTCACAATGGCCGACCTTTATCAGGCTTGGAGAGTGGCCAGGTCGATATCTTTCAGACTCCACATGTCACTGACAATACTTGGCAAGAATGCAGGAACAGATCTTCACTCAAATGAACTAATTGTCTCCTGCAAACTCCCCTCCCCTTGGTTCCACTTTATTCCCTATGGGAGGGGTCATTCACCATCCACCTGTGGCTTTACTCCTGAGTAGACCCTTGTTCCTTATCTCCCTAGACCGGGAGGGGAAACTTTTCTTTCTGGCTCAATTGGAGCCGATGGTGGCACAGTGGTTAAAATGCAGTATTGCAGGTTTGCTCACTGCTGTCTGCCAGGAGTTTGATCTCCTGACTAGCTCCAGTTTAACTCAGCCTTCCATCCCTCGGAGCCCAATAAAATGAGAACCCAAATGGTTGAGGGCAATATCCTGACTCTGTAAATTGCTTCGAGAGGACCGTTAAAGCACTATGAAATGGTATATAAGTTTAAGTGCTATGGCGATTGACTTATATTTAGAATAGAATAACACAGTTGGAAGGGACCTTGGAAGTCTTCTAGTCCAACCCCCTGTTTAGGCAGGAAACCCTACACCACTTCAGACAAAAGGTTATCTAACATCTTCTTTAAAACCTCCAGTCACAACTTCTGGAGGCAAGTTGTTCCACTGATTTAATTGTTCTAACTGTCAGGAAATTTCTCCTTAGTTCTAAGCTGCTTCTCTCCTTGATTAGTTTCCACCCTTTTCATCTTGTCCTACCCTCAGGTGCTTTGGAGAATAGCTTGACTCCCTCTTCTTTGTGGCAACCCCTGAGATGTTGGAACACTGCTATCATGTCTCCCCAGTCCTTCTTTTCATTAAACTAGACATACCCAGTTCCTGCAACCGTTCTTCCTATGTTTTAGCCTCCAGTCCCCTCATCATCTTTGTCACTCTTCTCTGCACTCTTTCTAGAGTCTCCACATCTTTTTTACATCGTTGTGACCAAAACTGCATGCCATATTCCAAATGTGGCCTTACCAAGGCCTTATAAAATAGTATTAACACTTCATGTGATTTACTAAACTCAAAAGCAGCTCCAGTATAGATCAGATCAAGAGCCTGTTGGGTGGGGAAGAAATGAGAGTTGACTAAGGAACTGACATTAATTTTTTTATCCTTAGGTGGAAGCGATTGTCCCTCTGGAGATATTAATGTATATATTCTGCCCCCAACACCAAGAGCCTTGTACATTGATAGAAATAGCAAGATCAGCTGTGTTGTGAACAATCTGCAAAATGAACAGGGGTTGAAAATTACCTGGTCTCGGGAGAAGAATGGACACCTGAATCCTGATCCAATTGAAACGAGAGAAGAACCAAATGGTACCTACACTGCTGAGAGTAAACTCGGCGTCTACTCTCAAGATTGGGAATCGGGAGAGGTTTTCACCTGTGTGGTGGAACATCCATCCTTTGTTACCCCTGTCACAAAGACAATTTCCAAGATCAGAGGTAAGGAGGAAATTACATTGTTCTCCCTCAGGGGGACTAATGGACATGTTTTCATTTGTGCGAAGACGTTGTAGGACAATCTCTGTAACATATGGTGTGTGATGCAAGCTTGGAGACATGAAAAGGGCTGGCATGTTGTGGCCGGCCAACAGATCTGGCAGCAGATTTGGAGGGTGAGGAGGTTGGGGAGGAACATTGGCCAGTCCTGGAGTCTGGGGAAGGCTCTGATGAGGGCTCTGCATCAAAGGCAAAGAGGGGGCCAGGGCTGTATACCAGTTATCAGCTGCCTTCGGAGTCAGACATCAGTGATGCAGACAAACAGCTGGAGCCTGTTCCCAGTGTGCTCATGAGCAGAGTTGCCAGGAGAAGGGAACAGCTAAGGAACAAGGGTCGACTTGGGAGTAAGGCCACAGGTGAACGATGAAGGGCCCCTCCCAGAGGGAATAAAAGATGAGCGAAAGGGGAGTGGAGTTTGCAGGAGACAATTAGTTCATTCCTGCATTCTTGCCAAGTGTTGCGGCGTCTGAAAGGTATTGGCCTGGCCACTCTCCAAGCCTGATAAAGGTCAGTAATTGTGAACTGTATTGAAAGACTGTGGGAGAAGAAAGACTTTGCTGGAGAGGAATTCACTGTAAATGAAAAAATAAGAGGGGTTTATCGGGACGAGTCCTTGGCTTCGTGCTGCCGGGAAAGCCTAGGTCAGAACATGGCAGCAACAATCCAGAATATTTATTTATTTATTTATTTATTTATTTATTTATTTATTTATTTATTTATTTATTAGTTCAATTTATATGCCGCCCTTCTCCGGAGACTCAGGGCAGCTTACAATGCGTTAAGCAATAGCCTTCATACTTTTGTATATACCTGCTTAGTAGGGCTTTTGCCCCCCCCAAGTGGTGTTCTTTTTTATACAAAGTCAGCTTATTGCCCCCACAATCCAGCTCCTCGTTTTACCTACCTCGGAAGGATGGAAGGCTGAGTCAACCTTGAGCCTGGTGAGATTTGAACTCGCAGTAATTGCAGGCAGCTGGCAGCTAAGTGCTACTTTAACAGCACTTTAGTCTGCTGCTCCACCAAGGCCTCTTGGTGGGTGGATTAGTACACCAGGATAACAAACTTCACACTTGGCTTTGCATCAGTGTGGGCCTCTAGTCATAGAATGGCCCCGCAAACCATGGTTTTGTGATATAAGTGAACAATGGCTAAAAGAATCATAGTTTAACAAGAGAGGTCAACCATTTATTGCTGCCACTAATTTGTCCTATTTTCTAACACTGTTTTGTTTCTTTCCTCAAACTTTACCAAGGCAAGAGCAGTGCACCCAAGGTCTTCGTCTTCCCTCCTCACCGAGATGAGCTCAACCCAGGCACAACGGTGTCTCTTACCTGCATGATAAATGGTTTTGACCCAGCTGAAGCTGATGTCCAGTGGCTACGTAATCACAATCCCCTGCCAGAAGACAACTATGCCAGCACTCCAGCTGTGAAGAATAAACATGATAATACCTTCTTTCGCTACAGCCAACTTAATGTCCCCAGGGCTGACTGGGAAGCAAAAGGCGATCTGTTCAGTTGTGTGGTGGTCCATGAAGCCCTCCCCATGAAGTTCACCCAGAGGAACATCTCAAAAACCCAGGGTAAAAAATGAACCAGCTGCTCCGTTTCAATCCATCCTAGATTTGCCTCTAGCACTGTCAGACCAAACTGTTCATGATTTCCCAGCTCACCCATTTCACATCTGGATGAATAAAAAGCAACCCATCTCAGAAATACCTCAGATTCTGTTCTTTTCTCCTTAGGGGTGAGATCTAGAAGGGGGAAAGGGGACAATCTGTCTGAAAAAAAAAGAGTCAAGGTTTAAGGCTGGTTTATTGTATTGGTCAGTTGGTTGGTTGGTTGGTTGGTTGGTTGGTTGGTTGGTTGGTTGGTTGATGTGATTTCTACAGCTGCCCATCTCAGCAAATGAATCTGGCCGAGTCACTGTTTTGATAATCCAACAAAATGACATCCATCATGTTTCTGTATGAATCCCATGGATTCAGTGGTGGGTTGCTACCGGTTCTCCCCGGTTCAGGAGAGCTGGTAGCGGAAATCTTGATAGGAGAAAAAAACAGTTCGCTCCAAACGTCAGCTGGGCTCTCCTGCCCATCCGTACGCTATACCTACCTTTATTCCTTTGTTTTTAGCTCATCTGTAAGGCATGGCAGAGTGGATTGCCATGCCTCAGCTGTTTTTTTGCTCAATGCACTTGTGCAAAGCACAAGTTTGGCAATCGCACACAAAGTGCGTGTGCGATGCAAACCGGTGGTAAAACTGGTTAGAACCCACCACTGCATGGATTTAGCTGGGTTAGGGGAAGATACCCCAAATTAGCCTCACTGCAACTCTGTGCTATGAGAAAAGAATGGAATAGAGGTATCTCCTCCAACCTGGTGAGCTACACTGAACCCACCACGTTCAAGGACAATGATCCTTTACTGTCTGCTCCGTATCTTAAATGCCCTTCTCTGTAGGTTGTTCATTTAGCCCAACAGCAAAGAGTTCAAGTAGCCAAAATACATATAATTGTAATTACGTACTGAAAAATGTTCCATCATTGCAAATCCAGCTACGTCCCTTGGCCAAGTTCCTCTTAGCCACAGTTTCTCCATGGACCAATCAGTTGGGGCAAAGTGACACTGTTCTCTGCAGGTCTATAATCTACACTTAATTTCAATATCAAGGATTCATTTTGTTGTTGTTGTTAATTGCAAGGTCGTGTCCGACCCATCATGACCCCATGGATAACGTTCCTCCAGGCCTTCCTGGAGGATTCATATCTAATACCAAAAAAAAAACCAAACCCAGAGAATGCTCCAGACAGAATCTCAATAGGCTATTATAATATACAGATGCTATGATCCATTCTAAAAAAAATAAATAAATAGAAACATCACACTCCAATAAGTTCCAATAAGGGAGAGTTCTAAAGGCTCAACTATATCAGGGAATGCTCTGAATTTGCCAAATAATTGATACAACACCAAGTAGTAAATATAAAATCAAGGGAGAGAGGGAGGGAAAAAATGTTTAATTCAAGTTACTAAACAAAGAGGTTGAGTAATAAGGGAAAATAGATCACAATGGGCATTCAACTCTCAAGATATCCACATTCAGAAATGCAAAGCTATATGGTAGAGAAACAATTGTTCTCCAGAAATACTTCCAAAACTTACCTGATGATCAGGACAAATTAAAATAACAAAAAGCAATCCCATTTGTCCTTAAAACATTCTATCAAAATTCACTGATGGGTTATTCAAAATTCCATAGGAGAGGATACAATCTGTATTAACACAAAAAAGAGACCTTGCCTCAAAACTTTGACATTTCAGATGTCATTTCAAGACAGAATAACAGAGTTGGAAGGGACCTTGGAGGTCTTCTAGCTCAACCACCTGCCCAAGCAGGAGACTCTATGCCATTTCAGACAATTGGTCATCCAATCTCTTTTCAAAAGCCTGCAGTGATGGAGCACCCACAATCTCTACAGGCAAACCATTCCACTGATTAATTGTTCTCACTGTCAAGAAATTTCTCCTTAGTTCTAGGTTTCTTCTCTCTCTTTTTATTTTCAACCATTGCTTCATGTTTTGCCTTCTGGTGCTTTGGAAAATAGATTGTCCCCCTCTTCTTTGTGGCAGCCCCTCAAATATTGGGACACTGTTACCATGTCACCTCTAGTCCTTCTTTTCACTAGACTAGACATACCCAGTTCCTGCAACCATGTTTTAGTCTCCAGTCCCCTAATCAATTCAGAGACAAGAAAGAGATATTATCCAGCACTCAAGAACAATAGAACTGTAGCTTGTTCGCTGATTTAAGAAATAGTTCTAAATATATTCCCCCTAGATTTCCTTGGGATCAAAATTTTATTCTCTCACCCAGTTCACACACTATTCACCAAAGTCTGGCCCTGCACAGTGCTTAGATGTTTGCCGGCTGTCCCAGCTTTGTGGCAACCATCTTAAGGCTGCCTCTTCTCCTTGTCATGGCTGAGAGGGAAAAAAGCCCCTGGGTCAGGCAGGAAAGATATGGCTCTCCTCAACCTCTCAGAGCACCCCTCTTTGCTTTGCCACCCCTACAGGGTGGCATTGGCTCCTTTTGGAGCCCACCAATGGGGAGAATTTGGCACGGGAGCACAGAAGTGCACTTCCGTGTCTGATCCACCATGGCATCAACCGGACATCATCTCTAGTTTCAACCATTGCTTCTTATTTTGCTTTCTGGTGCTTTGGAAAATAGATCGTCCCTCTATTCTTTGTGGCAGCCCCTCAAATATTGGAACACTGTTACCATGTCACCCCTAGTCCTTTTTTTTTTCAGTAGACTAGACATACCCAGTTCCTGCAACCGTTCTTCATGTTTTAGACTCCAGACCCCTAATCAATGCAGAGATGAGAAAGAGAGATTATCCAGAACCCAAGAACAATACAACTGTAGGAATTAAATAGTAAGAGCTCTCAGTTTGGGCATCTATTTGCAAATTGAAATATTAATAATCACATTTTATCATATTGATCAACATCAGGACACATCTAATATTTTTCTGAGATTATTTTTTTTTCTTTTTTGAAATTTCACACTCTGATTCATCAAAATTTCTGGCAAGGAGTTCAAAGAAATATAAACTTGTTCACTGAGAAAACTAATGTATAATAACAGACACTAAAAAAACCATGACACTATAAATCACCAAAAAGAAAAAAGAAAAGAAACTTTATAGACACACTTTTATAGAAATCTGGCCATCTTCATCTGGTGAAGAATGCAGGCATAACATTTTGATCATGGAAGTTGACAACTGATGCTAAGCTAAGAATTGGAGAAGTCTCACTTCAATGAAGCAGGTCCAGCTATATAAAAATTATTTTAAAAATATCCCAAATGATTATTTGGTAAAAACAATAGAAAGAAAGAAGAGAGAAATCGACAATACCATTCCCTAAAATTTCTTTTCCTTTTATTGTTTTTAATTTCTCCAAATTCAGTTTTAAATCGAGTTGTAAAATTTCCTTTCTTGGGCTTTAATATTTAAACCTCCTCTTTGTTCTTTGTTCTTCCTTCAAATTTCTAATGTGTCAAAATTATGTCCAACCCTCACTAAAAAGCACTTTTCCTCGGGTTTCTTTTTCTCGTATTAGTTTTAATTTTTCCAAATCCAATTTTAAATCCAAATAATAAAGTTTTCTTTTCTGGGCTTTAGTACTTTAACTTCCTCTTTGTTCTTCTCCCTCCATTAAAATTCCCAAGTGCCAATTAGCTGCTCATTTCCTCACTGGGACACCATTTAAAGTTTTTGTTTTTTAAGAAATTTCCTTATTTATCTGTGAATCACTCATCAGGTACCAGTACTCCATTCAAACACTGCTCCTGCACAAAATCTTATTTCGGCTGCCCCAGCTTCAAAGTGGTCATTTTTAATGGCCGCCACACCCGCTGCTGGTTTGAAGAGCTGCCTCCAACCTTTCAACGAACTTTCCTGTTCCTCTTGGTCATCCGAGGCACCTCTCCTTCTTCACCATCCCTACAGGACAGTTCCAATCCAAAGACCCACCTACAGCAGTTTGTCTGGTTGGATTTTCGCGAGGCTCATTGGAACCCACTATTTTCCAGCCAGTCTCGCCGCAATGCTTCCGGTTTCTCTGACAATACCGTTCCACACGAACAGCTGAAAAAACATATAAATATGCAACGACAGTTTTTTTTCCTCCTCCAGAAAGAAGAAAATGAGAACTAGATAAGTTAATAGTTTTGAAATGCAATGATAATATCACTCAATTATAAAATTATAATACAAAATAAAATAATTACAATTTGCTCATGGTAAATAAATTAGTACATAAATTAGAATAATAAATAAAATAGAAAAAGAAAACTCTAGGCGAAGGAAAGGCCAATATCATCTAGAGAATGGAAGGTGTGATTTCTCATTGTTGTGATGATGATGATGATGATGATGATGATGATGATAATGATGATGATGATACTTGGTTGATTATCTAGGATGCTGGCAGCAACCCGTATCAACCATTAGCACCAGTCAATCATATTTGTGACACATTTTTAAATGTTCAGTTGACTGAGTTTCATGTTTAATGAATAAAAGTGGGTAATAATAATAATAATACCCATATCAACTATCAGTGCTAGTCAATAATATTTGTGATACATTTTTAAATATTCACTTGACTGAGTCTCATGTTTAATGAATAAAAATATAATAATAATAATAATAATAATAATAATAATAATAATAATAATAAGGCCACCCCAACGATGCCCTTGAAGTGATGTCCCAGTGCCTGGAGGCTGTACGGGTCTGGATGGGGAGGAACAGGCTCAAGCTCAACCCTTCCAAGACTGAGTGGCTGTGGCTCCCGGCATCCCGATATAGTCAGTTGACTCCATCACTGACTATTGGGGGCGAGTCATTGGCCCCCACAGAGAGGGCTCGCAATCTGGGAGTCCTCCTGGATATGCAGCTGTCCTTGGAGGAACATCTGACGGCTGTAACCAGGGGGACCTTTTGTCAGGTTCGCCTGATTCGCCAGTTGCGGCCCTTTCTTGATCGGGATTCCCTGTGCACAGTCACTCATGCCCTCGTCACCTCTCGCCTTGACTACTGCAACGCTCTCTACATGGGGCTCCCCTTGAGGAGCACCCGGAGGCTCCAGCTGGTCCAGAACGCAGCAGCGCGGGTAGTGACGGGAGCAGCATGGCGCTCCCATGT